TCCTTCATCTCCCTCTCCCTCCTCCTGTCCTCCTTTCCTCCCTCATCTCCCTCCTCCCTTCCTCCCTTCCTCCCTTCCTCCCTTCCTCCTTCATCTCCCTCCACTCATCCTTTTCCTCTCCCATCTTTTTCCCTGTCCTCTCCTCCCACTCATCTCGTCTCATCTCCCTCCCCTCCCCTCTTCCCCTTCTAATCCACCACCCACCTCCGCCTCAATGTGTGTGCGTGTGTTTAGATAGGAAGTGGTAGCGCGGTGGCTTCGACCTGACTCCCACGGTCCCCACCTGCCCTTTAGCCTCCCTTCCCACATGGAATCATTCTTCCTTCTTGCTCCTCCTTTTCTGGATCAGCTTCGTCGGTCTCGCCTTCCCTCTTTGCGATGTCTGGTTCAGGGACGGAGGTATGCCAGCGTTGGTCCTTGTGTTCTTGTGTATTGTTTTTCTACTTCTTCGTTAAGCTAGATTGTGGATAAAGTTGTTTAATATTCGTATTGTAACGATTTGGATTAAATATTTGAGGGATATCGTTATTTTTTATGGAAACATGTTTGTACCTAGTGGGGATGTCGATAGGATCTCGACTTAATTCCTGCCCTCTATAGAACTGCATAGATTTGTGAATCATTATAACTCTTGACTGATCAATAGGGTAAATATGTTATAAAAGAAATTCAATTTATTTTATCAGTCATAAATCCTGCACTATTGCACATTATGTATCTGTCCCCCCTCCATGTTTTCCATCTCCCATTATTCCTTCTCGCATTTCTGCTTTTTGCATTAGCACTCGCTATTCGTTACCTTCTTATACCCCTCCCCCTTTCTTTCTCACTTTTCCCCATTTTCAGATCCTCTCTTGGACTATACCGTTGCATGTTTCGCTTCCTACGTTCCCTACCTTATGAATTTTCTATTTTTCACTATGACGTGCGCCTGTTTAAATCCCATGGGATAAAGTTGCCTTCTTTTGGGGAATGAAATCATTGGACGCCAGCAAGAATGACGCACGGCATTTGGGGGAAGTACTCCAGAACACGGATTGGAGAACAACTCACTCACATCTACCAAGAGAAGGAATGGTTGGTAACGGAGAGGGAGAAGCTGTCACGATTATGTTAGCCACTGGCTGTTTCCATCATAAGCGTATGGCTTTTCCCCTCTGCTGCCGACCACGTGCGCCTGCTGCCTGCCAACGCCTACCTCCGCCGCCCATCTGCCAAGTTAAAACGCGGCGTCGGATGTCTCGTTGAAAATTGGATTCTCTTTGATCTCTGATGTGTGTGTGAACCAGTGCCAGTACTTGGCGGTAGCACTTGGATGCTCAAATCAAAACGGAAAACAGACGAAAGGAGACAGGGAGCTTTGAATGAACCCATAATTACAAAATAAGAGACTTAGGACACTTTCAAATGCTTGACCTCTCCTCATATTATAACTTAGGGGATGGCCAGTGTCCCGCAATACTTCCATTCTCCTTTTTTATATTTTCTATTGGAGATATGTTAACGTATGGAATGAAGTTTCATTATTGCAGTGTTCAGTCTTATGGAGGAAAAGCCTTTGTTTTGGTTCGAAAATCAACACACGCACACATACATACATGTGTGTGTGTGTATGTATATGTATATGTATGTGTGTATATATTTATATGTATATGTATGTGTATATATGTTTATACGTGTGTGTGTAATATAATATATGATATAACATAATATATAATATATTGGTAAATGAAGCAGTAAATCAATTAAAAGTTAAGATTAATTTTAATTTTTAACATAGTGTAGATAAATGGTTATTCTCAAATGTTAACACGAATTTTACAAGAAAATAAAATAAAGGTTAATTAATTTCACTGTTGTGTGAATAATATTTGCGATGGAAGGATCGATGTATATCAAGATGTCAAATTCATGGCCCGCCGGGCAAACTTGGCCCTTGGGATGGTCACAAGTGGCCCGCCGGATAATAATTAGATTTATTAGCTTGGGATATTATGAGCACTGTGATGGAAATAATGTAAAATACGTTTTGTTACCATTAATGCCGTCATTTAATATTTAATAAACATAAGAATCTAATAAACAAAAACTACGTATAGGTAATTACTGTGTTTTAAGCCTTTGTCGGCCCACAAGATGGGAGCTGAAATGAAAAGTGGCCGCAAAGTGTTTTGAGTTTGACACCCATGATGTAGACGGTTCGTTGAAAAGGGGTATTGCTCATTAACGAATAGCTAGTGCGTTGAAGCAATAGACCCAGTGCAGCCAGTTATTAATACGCCATTTGTTTCGGTCAGCTGTCTTGCAAAGACATCGTTTACAAATTATTTACATTTCGAATATAATCACATTCACCAGAATACGGCTTTCATGATGAAAGCTAGATGAATGTGTATATCGTCATAATAAAATTACATACGGACAACTATTAACATATATATTTTTTTACATTTTACTTACATTTAGTCTAAAATAACCCTTTGTTTTCTTGTCTTTTCAGGATGACTGTGCCTGCAGTGTGTAACACACCATGCGATTCTTCTGCAGCATGAGTATTTGATACTATTTATAGTTTAATTTATTAAGGATGGATAACCTGTCTGGGCTGTTTGGTGATGGGGACCTGAGTGACCTGGACCTGGGAGGAGATTCCTTTGGTGGTCCCTCGGGTCCCACGCCTGTCTCTGTGCAGGAGATGGACCTCAGCTACAACCAGCCATCATACACCAGTATAGGGTCTGCGGCTGGGGGTCCTCCACCTCAGGGCCCGGGACAGAAGATGGGTATGGGTGGTGGGCCCCCTCCGTCGGCGCAAGGGATGTACCCTGGCCCTGGACCAGGGCCTGGACCAGGACCTGGTTACCAGTATCCTGGAGGGCCAGGCCAACAACAGCCTCCTATGAATCAATACCAGGGTGGTCAGTATCGGCCGTCATACCCACCGTCTGGCCAAGAGATGTATGCCCAAACCTGGAACAACCAGCCGGACCCATACAATCACATGCCCGGAGGTTATCAGCAACAGCCAAATTATCCCCAACAAAGTATGCCGCCATATCAGAACCAAGGCATTACAAACTCCAGCATGGGAGGCACTATGCAACAGAACATTCCACAGAATTACCAGGGCATGCCACCCCAGAGTATGGGTCAGGGTTACCCACCTGGTTCTCAGGGCATAACTTACCAAGGTGCACCAAGGCCACCTTATCCTGGGTTTGACCCCCAGAGACCAATGGCTTCCAACTCCCCAAATATGAGTCCCTACCCAGGGGCTCCCCCAGCACCCGGCCAGCCTCAGCAGTACGCCATGAGTCAGGGTATGAGACAGCCATATCAGATGGGACAGTATCCTCAGGGCCAAGTTCCTATTGGGGGGCAGCAGCAGCCGCACCCAGGCCAGCCCATGATGGGAGGGCCACGACCTCAGGGTGATATGAACCAGTACCCTGGCTCTCAGGTACCTAATGGCACACCAGGCTTTAGAGCATCATTCCCCCAGGCTTCTCCACAGCTGTCACCCCATCCGCAAGCATCGCCTCGGCCTCAGATGTCCCCGATGCCACGTAGCATGTCACCCCACCCTCGCCCCAATTCTAATCTAGGAATGACTACTCCTGTATCATCCCCTGCGTCCATGCCTCCGTCATCAAGTGCGTCGCCAGCTCCTCTTGGCGGTGCACCAGGATCCAGCCTACAGCAACTTGAAAGTATGGTGAAGCCTGGTAGCGTTGCTGGAAGAAACACACCTACCAGCCAGCGATGCACTACCCCCAATCAGCCTATGCCATCACCTGGTCTGTATGCTGGCTCCTCTGGAGTACCTAGTCCGTTGGGCACCCGACCACCCATGTCTCCAGGCATGGTTAGTAGACCTTCTATGGGTACTCCAATGAGTCCAGGTCTAGGGCCTGGTTCGGTCCGACCTCCCATGTCTCCACAGCAGTGGCAGCAGGCTCGGCCAATGGCCCAACAAAGTTACATGCAACAGAGCAGCTATATGCAAGGAGGCAGTATGGCAGGGCCAAGGCCTCCTATTAGCCAACAACAGTCGCCTATACCAACGCCTCAAGGACAGGACTCTGCAATGCCTGACAGTATTTCTAATGTTAGTGATGGTAGTTTGACTCCGAACAGTAGTACATCAAGTGTGTGTGTGTCTCAGAGTAATGGACCAGTGTCAACTCCAAGTGTCAATACCAGTATAGTGAATAGTGCAGTAAGTAGTTTAGCAAACAGTGAATCTTTGAGTGAGAGTGTTCAGGTGCAAGCCTCTTCTAGCCCAACTACGACTTTAACTACATCAACAGTAAATGGACCTACACAGACAACTTCAGCCATTCAACAACACCAAGCTTCAGCACCCACCAACGTGCCTACCACTTCCACCAACCCTGGAAGTTTGCCAACAAGTGCTGTGAATCAGAATGGTATGATGCCTAGTTTAGTAGCCACAAATGGTATGCCACCAAGCACGGTCACACCAAACGGGATGCCTCCAAGTAGTATGCCAAATGCGTCAGGACCTGGAATCATGACATCAACAGGCATGCCTCCTCGTGGTCCCCAAGGGCCAGGTATGATGAGATTTCCAGGTCCTCAGGGCCCTCACGGACCATACCAGCAAGTAATAGGGCAGCCAGGATATAGAGTTGTTGGTCCAGTGTCCTATGGACCGCAAGGACAGATGTCCCCAGGACAGAGACTACCGGGTCAGATGCCACCAGGACCTGGCCAGATGCCTCAGGCACCGGGGCAGAGGCCACAAGGACCAGGACAAATGCCGGGAGGTCCTGGACAGATGCATCCAGGTCCTGGCCAAATGCCACCAGGAGGGCCAGGCCATATGCCTCCAGGACCAGGACATATGCCTCCAGGCCAAATGCCATCAGGCGGTCCTGGACAAAACACTAACCAAATGTCAACACCTGGCCAAGTATCTGGAAAAGGACCCGGCCAGATGGCTCCTGGAGGCCCATGTCAGAAACCCCCAGGTGGCCCAGGACAGATGCCTCCAACAGGGCCAGGCCAAATGCAAACAGGGAGTCCAGGACAGATGCCACCAGGTGGACCAGGACAGATGCCACCAGGTGGACCAGGACAGATGCAACCAGGTGGGCCAGGTCAGATGCAACCAGGTGGGCCAGGACAGATGCAACCAGGTGGGCCAGGACAGATGCAACCAGGTGGGCCAGGACAGATGCAACCAGGTGGACCAGGGCAGATGCAACCAGGTGGGCCAGGACAAATGCCACCCGGTGGACCAGGACAAATGCCACCCGGCGGACCAGGGCAGATGCCACCCGGAGGACCTGGGCAGATGCCACCCGGAGGACCTGGGCAGATGCCACCCGGCGGACCTGGGCAGATGCCACCCGGCGGACCTGGGCAGATGCCACCCGGCGGACCTGGGCAGATGCCACCCGGCGGACCTGGGCAAATGCCACCAGGTGGACCCGGCCAGATGCAACCTGGCGGACCTGGCCAGATGCAACCTGGCGGACCCGGCCAGATGCAACCTGGCGGACCCGGCCAGATGCAACCTGGCGGACCCGGCCAGATGCAACCTGGCGGACCCGGCCAGATGCCTCCCGGACCTGGGCAGATGCCACCCGGCGGACCAGGGCAGATGCCACCCGGCGGACCTGGGCAGATGCCACCCGGCGGACCTGGGCAGATGCCACCCGGCGGACCTGGGCAGATGCCACCCGGCGGACCAGGGCAGATGCCACCCGGAGGACCTGGGCAGATGCCACCCGGAGGACCTGGGCAGATGCCACCCGGCGGACCTGGGCAGATGCCACCCGGCGGACCAGGGCAGATGCCACCCGGAGGACCTGGGCAGATGCCACCCGGCGGACCAGGGCAGATGCAACCAGGTGGGCCAGGACAGATGCAACCAGGTGGGCCAGGACAGATGCAACCAGGTGGACCAGGACAGATGCAACCAGGTGGGCCAGGACAGATGCAACCAGGTGGGCCAGGACAGATGCAACCAGGTGGACCAGGACAGATGCAACCAGGTGGACCAGGGCAGATGCCACCCGGAGGACCTGGGCAGATGCCACCGGCGGACCTGGGCAGATGCCACCGGCGGACCTGGGCAGATGCCACCGGCGGACCTGGGCAGATGCCACCCGGAGGACCTGGGCAGATGCCACCCGGCGGACCAGGGCAGATGCAACCAGGTGGGCCAGGACAGATGCAACCAGGTGGGCCAGGACAGATGCAACCAGGTGGGCCAGGACAGATGCAACCAGGTGGACCAGGACAGATGCCACCAGGAGGTCCAGGACAGATGCCACCAGGAGGTCCAGGACAGATGCCTCCAGGACAAATGCCTCCCGGTGGTCCAGGACAGATGCCTCCAGGAGGTCCAGGACAGATGCCTCCAGGACAGATGCCTCCAGGACAGATGCCTCCAGGACAGATGCCTCCAGGACAGATGCCTCCAGGAGGTCCAGGACAGATGCCTCCAGGACAGATGCCTCCAGGACAGATGCCTCCAGGACAAATGCCTCCCGGTGGTCCAGGACAGATGCCTCCAGGAGGTCCAGGACAGATGCCTCCAGGACAGATGCCTCCAGGAGGTCCAGGACAGATGCCTCCAGGACAGATGCCACCAGGAGGTCCAGGGCAGATGCCTCCTGGTGTTCCAGGCCAAATGCCACACGGAGCGCCTAGTCAGATGATGCCAGGAGGGCAATTGCCAACAAGTGTGGCGGCACAGATGCCCCCAGGTTCACAAAACCAAATCCCACCAGGACAGATTCCAACAACACAGATGGGACCCATGGGGCAAATGGGACCAGGGATGCATCCTCAGGCATCTGTAGGTCCTGGCATGGGCCCTGGTCCCCAAATGGGACCCGGTATGGCACAGGGGCCAATGGGTATGCCTCCGCAAGGTCCTCATTCTATGCAACCCCAGATGAATTTTGCTTTTGAGATTCAGCAGTGCCAGCAGCAGCTGCAGCAACTATACAAAATGCCACAGAACGTGCAAACACAACAGAAGGTAAGCATTACATTAAAACTTGTATGTTTCTTTTACTTTCTCCTATGAAAATAGATTGACGTCTCTTCAGTTCATTTTGGTAAGATTAACTTCATAACCAAGTATCAGGAAATTAGTGAACCTTACTCTAGTATTGCACATTAGAGGATTTTGTGTTCCCCGATGTATCCATAAAGATGTGTATGCTCAAATCTGCATCAAAAGATTTACTTTTGGTATAAGTATTAATCATCCACCGCTGCAATCTTTACATTTTATAGTTTTCTAAGAATCCCGGTTAAAATGCTGCTGTATCAGTTCATATTGTTAGACACCATACCAACTAGATTATATTAGGAAATAGAAGAGCGATATGCAGTTTCAGGTTTAAATGCCATATGTAGAGGTATTTGATGTGCTAAACAGTTTGTGGCGTAGTCGCATGTAAACGAGTGTTATATACTTTTGCACTAAGTGCGCCTCATGCATAAGTTACAGGGAAAATTGGCTATCCACCACGCATAGTGTAATACTAATACACACGAATGTTTTTAATTCTACCCAGATCTTGAGTTTTTGGCAGTAAGGTTCTTTGATTGAAAATGGATACCCCTTGCCATGCAATTAGGCTTATGGTCGATAATATTCTGAGTATAGTCGTGGATTTAGCACCTTCTGGGCGTGTGCCCTGTATTAGAATACGCTCGAGTGACGACGCAGAGCAAAGTGTACCAATAGTTTCACAAGATGCTAAAAAGTGGCTGTGATATTTTCAAGACGTACAGTATGGATTTAATATATAGTGTATCGTACAGTCGTTTTTTGTACAACTTGAATTTGAGTATTGTTTTGCGCAATGGTGCGCCGCATCTCCATCAGATAGTAAGACGGCTCATTTTGAATGGGTTAATGAGGGTGTACTTATGAATAAGAATCATCTATAAAACAAACGACGTTGAGCACTTCATGCAGAATTTTTTTTTTTTTTTTTTATGAATTTTAAGATAAATCCTCAAATATTTGGATGCGATCGACTGTAGGCTATGACTGAGCGTAATGTGGGGGTGGACGCGCACTCCTTTCTGTGGCACAAGGACCACAGCCAATTAGTATGTCGATTACAATGGACCGTGTTTCGGTTTTCTTACAGAAGAAATCTTTGAGATCGTGCTATTCTATCAGTTTTATATTAATCATTTAGTAGAAGTACATATATAGCGTACTAATAACATCAGTTAATACTTACTGTATAATAATACTGGTGACTGTAGTTGTTCTCTTCTTAATATAGAGCTGATCGATTGATAGCACTGCCTAAGAACAAACTTGAGTGAATAATAATTGTAGCATCAAGTAAGACTCGGCCCGTAAACATAGAATTTGGCAGTTAATTTCTGGTTCAAAAGAGAATGTGTTCATATTAAACTGTGAGATATAGATGATAAGCTTACATCATCGATATCATTATGATTATCATTATCATTATTTTTGTTGTAATGATCTTGATTTACCATCACATTTATCGAGAAATCTTACTAAATGGGAATGTATAGTACTGCAGAAATGAATCTTCCTTTGCACGGTATTGTTGCCTGACAAAAGACCCTGCGGACGAAGGAAACGCGGGAAGTGTTGTCTAAATCCCCGTCGAAAGTGATCAGTGTCAGCGCCAGCTCTGCACTTCGCGTGCCGCTCCTTCGTAATCGCACCTGTTGAAGCTCTTATTAGAGTCCGTGTGAATGATGAAACGCGCCGACTTTGTGAGCTTTTATCACCCAGTTTTGTTTTCATTTTGACTTTCCGGGTGTAGGGGCAGAAATCGTTATAAGAATATATGCGCGTAATACAAGATGTGTGTGAATCGTTCGTTTTAGTTCTAGGTAAAAATGTCATCGTAAGTTGTACCGTTATGTAATTTTCAGCGTATGTGATAAAACATTTATGTTATTTGGGTATTGGTATACTTGTTTTCAAGCTCAAAGACGTACCTGTCTGTTTCCCAAAAGTAGTTGGTAGAGAGAGCGAAGTAAAAAATAATAATAAAAAAAATAATACCAGTCTCCCCGATGAATGGGAACGACTGGCCACAAGCAGCTGTTTGTGTGTTGGCATTTGCTGACTAATGGCTTGCTTGTCAGAACGTAAGCGTTGGCCTGTTGATGTTGGTTCTGGCATGCCCTCGCCTTAGAACAGCTTTTTGATCGATATAGATTTTGAATTATGACTCGTGTTACATTTCATATGGGGCCTCGTTTTTTATGTTATATAGAACATTTATATTGTAATTGCAGAAGGAAAATCACCCATTAAATGTGCATTCGTGCTTTTAAAGAAACTTGAAACGGTCGAAACTGACATACGTTATTGGTTGTAGCAAGAGCTCTCGGAAAGTAATTTTAATGCAAACCTGGAGGTTGAATTCTCGTCACAGGTAGGGAAAACTGGAGTATGCCTGGCATTTCATTGTTTTGTATTAACCTCATTGCATAATCTCCAATTAAGGTAATTAAGATTCCTACTGCTATGTTCAGTCGGGATTAGATGAGGATTGTGTAAGGCCCACATCTAAAGTAAAGCCATAGTTAGAGCTCTGTGTACTGTTTTGTGTATTAATTTTCATCATAGTAGTCGCCATCATATTTGCCGACTGTATTCGAGGTTGTGGCGGAATGGGAAAAAATGGGAGAGGTACTATGGAACCATGCAGGCATCCCCGAAGAAAGTTTTCCTAGTAGTATCTTTTAATATTAATAATTTTCAGTGAAGGTATGTGGCGTGTTAATGTATGAGATGTCGGCTTAAGAATTTGATTGATTTCAGTAATGCTTAATTTAAAAAAAAATGCTTCAGTGTAACGAATGAAGTGGTTTATAAGTCGAAAAAATAGGGAGGGGAACTTCCCCAGTACGTCTTTGAGAAGCTTAGTAAAATAAACTGAAATGCAGTGGATTATTCATTAAACCTTAGGTTATAGTTTTTAAGTTTTTCATTTCTGGGCGCACGTTCATAGAGACCGGATAACTTTTAAAAAGAGAGTGTAGTTGTAAGAGGATTCATGTATGTATAGCTATGCAATTGAACGGTCGATGGGGAAACCTCGAAGGTTGTTTTAAAAAAGAAACATTTAATTAAATTTAATTTAATCGTTCTTTTCGTTTAAGGATATGTAGCAGTGCCCATCCGAAGTTTCATTTAGAAGAATGTGAAATCAGCTTCTTTCTTTTTTGGTTGTTTTAGCTCGCTAAGAATCCGATTTGAAGGAGGGCAAAAAGCTTATAGGATACTCTTTATGATATACAGTGTGCGCGAGTGTGTGGGGTCTGGCTCGGGTGGGATGGTCCCTTGTGCATTCATTCATACATCCGCGCATTGCAAACGCGTTGTGTAATTATCGATCGCTATTATAACGGTAATCCCTATCGGAGCCGAAGGTTTTTGACGGGATTTTACAATGGCTGCGTGGCGAGGGTGAAGGGTGAGCCCGTTTGTGCCAGGTGGGCCGAGTGGAGTGGCTGTTCCCCTCTGCAGCCACCCCACCCTCCTCTCTTCCCGCCAGCTGGTCGTCTACGTTGACAGTATGTGTGTGTGTGTGTGTGTGTGAATACGCGCGCGAGTTGTTGGGCCCACTATAGATAGTAATACTCAAATGAAAGAAGTGTGCGGGCGGCAAACGACGCGTTGGTGGTTATGGTTTCATGTGGCTGGAACGTTACACGCTAGGATCGAGGTACGCCAGCTCTAACGTGCATCAGTTTTGGACACGCGTTCCTTATTTCTGTCGGGGTTCTACCATTTATTGAACCCGTATTGTGTCTCGCACAAACGCTACGATTGGTGCAAGTACTGCTCTGCGAGTAACGTTCGAGCGTCCATGAACCGAGTGCGACTTAGTCAAGGTCAGAAGTGGCTGTTTGATGACCCCTGAGAAAGCGCCTTTTTCACGCGATGACCAACACACGCACCGTAAGTATTTGGGGCGGATTTTGACAATGAAATTAAAACACTTTTAAGTTCGGGGTACATGCTACTTGCAAATTATTATTATTATTATTTTAAATCATAGCAAACCAGCGCGAAATTATTTTATGATTCGTAAATTTAGCATAGGTGTTTCCGATTTCTTTATGTACTAGGTATGGTGTTCTTGAAAGTTTACTCCTCTGTCAAGATGAAGATCACTTATCTTATCAGGAAAAGTTGTGCTGGTGCTAGCGTGAGGCTGGTACAGATTAAATAGAGCATGTATTTGTGGAGAAGGATTATCCAGTATTTATACGTGATGTATCTTCATTACTGAATAGGAATACTGTAGATTAGACCTGTTGTTATCAATAGATGAAGTAATGACTCAGAAAGTTATACAAAAGATATTTGGGATGCATTTGGGGGTTTCAAAATATTAAGCTTCTCACACGTGTGTGCGTGTTTTATGTAACACGTTAACATTTCTAAAGAGTTTACAAGAGTCCTTAGTGATTGTTTTAATTAGCGATCTGCCATTGTGTTATGTATCGTATTTTTATTACTTTATTAAGTAGGCTTGATATATATGAAAAGCGCAAAATGTTGTGAATATGAAATGGGCCTCGCCAATGGTTAAGTTAGGTAATTGGCGGAAAGGGGTTTTATATAAGTATTATTATATGCCCTTTAATCCTGTGTCATATTGGCATGGGTTCGATTGAAGTTAGCAAGCAAATGGCTTGGTTTAGGATTTATATAGCTAATGGAGGGACTGGTTATTCTTGTCATAATAAGGAAGCCGCTCCTGAATCACGTTTGCGATTCCGTTATAAGTAAGTGGAGCGATGAGTGTCGGGTTTCAGAGTTTTGTGTTTCCCCAGTGCAGGTTCCAGGAAGAGACTTTCGGAGGGAGGAAACTTTGAAAAGAATGAAATGTTCTGAATGCATTTACAATCGCATGTCTTTGTGTTGTATTGTAAGAGGGAGGTTAGTAACAGTTTTGAAACATCTGAGGGTCGTTGTGTAACATGATTTGAATTAGTATCAGGACTAGGGTA